GCACAAGCGCTCACACATACACACACTCGCACAAGCGCTCACACTCGCACAAGCGCACACACACATACACTCGCACAAGTGCACACACACTCGCACCTGCGTACACATACACATTAGCACAAGCGCTCACACATACACACGTTCGCACAAGCGCTCACACATACACACACTCGCACAAGCGCTCACACTCGCACACATACATACACTCACACAAGCACGCGCACACACGCTTGCACAAGCGCTCACACAAGTGCACACACACATATAAGCGCACACAAACTCACACAAGTGCAAGCACACAAACACTCTCACACAAAACAGTCCTGTTTATCAGTAAATGACTGAACAGAAGAGCTTCTAAATAAAACAGATCTAGGCTTTGATTGTCAAGATGTCAAGTTTTGAATGTTCTTTACTAGCAGAGTGTAATTGTAGACTCGTATTGCCAAAGTATTTACATCTGAGCTGCATGCAGAGAAAAGCGTACAAAGAGTGTTATAAGAATGAAGCTGATGACATGAACCTGTGTGTGTGTGTGTAGCGCTTGAGGACAGAGCGAGAATCTCTGAAGGAGACTATTGAGGAGCTGAGGTGTGTTAAAGCTCAAGAGTCTCAGCTGACGTCAGGTGACTGCTTTAAAGTCCATGCAGTGTCTCATTCTTACAGCATATGTTTGTTTTTAATTTTTATGTTTATGTATATGATGGGTTGATATGTGCTGATCAGAAGTGTTTCATCAGGTTTAGTGCCGCTCGGTAGTAACGAGCCGTCTGACTTGCTGTCTGCAGAAATTGTCACACCAGAGTTTAGGTAGGTGAAATACAGTAACATGAAGCCGCATGAACACTAAACACACACACACTCAGACTCAGATCTCTGTGATGTCCATGAAAGGCTCCAGCAGCTCAGACCGGATATGTGCTCTGTTTTATAGCTTTGTAACTGGTCACACTGCCCAACAAACCGCTCACATACACACATGCTCACACACTCACTCACACACACACATGCTCACACACTCACTCAGACACGCTAACTCACACTGAAACAGAAACACAGACACGTGTGTTTCCATGTTTTGTGGGGACTATCCATAGGCGTAATGGTTGAAAAAATAATTGATTACATTATTTGCTTTATACATGTTATGGGCTGTTTCCTCTTTGCTGAGTCATTTGGTCCCCATAATGTGATAAATACCAGGTACACACACACACTCTCTCTCTCACACACACACACACACACACACACACACACACACACAGTACACACACACTAATTTAAACAGATGATTTTCTGTATGTCTCAGTGTCTCTGACAGTCATTTCAGCCGCATGCAGCACATCATTCATTCATGTGGGTTCAATGTGCTGAGACCGACTAGACTAGAGAGTGGAGGTCCACATGTGAATGACCTGAACCCGTGTGTGTGTGTGTGTGTGTGTGTGTGTGTGTGTGTAGGCAGGTGAATCAGAGGCTGCTGCAGGGTCAGTCTCAGGTGGAGGAGCTGCAGACGTCTCTTCAGGAACACGGATCCAAAGCAGAAGATGTGAGTCCAACAGTTCGAGAGTTTGATTGTCAATCACTGAACATCTTTGAATGGACGTGTTACTTTTTTATTTTCACTGATTTAGTTTTGCTCATTGGAAGCAGAACATTATCATTTCTTTTTAGGGGTCCAGTTTGATCTTTATACTCCATATTTTTAATAAATGACGGCTGGGTGAGTGTTAGGAGAAAACACCAGATTCAAAAACAGATACAATAATGAGGTTTAATCTGAGTTATATTGCCCATATTGTCCTCTAGAGGTGTTTAAAGTAAATATCTCCTCAGTAGACTAGACAGCAGGTTATCTAAACAACTAGTCAGCTGTTTAAGGCTGGTTTAGGTTGGTGTTTGACAGACATGCATGTTTATTTCTCAAATCAGCCCTCATAAAACTACATACATCTGGAAGATTGTGCACACAAAAACATCCACTAGTCAGCTGGGTCATTACAGTCAACTAAACCTAAAAACATTGCTACTTTAAATAAAATAAACATGAACTGAAATCAAATATTTAAAACAATTATTTCCACTAGTTTCCAAAGCAACATTTATTGTTTTAATTTAGTTTAACTTGATGTACTAAAAAAACTAAAACTGAAATAAAAAACTATACGGACAAAAACTACTAAAAATGACAAGAACATTTTTTGTAAAATTACTAAAGAAAAAAACAAAACAAAACGGACTCAAAACTCTATTAATATCTCAGCTGTACTGAAGGAACAGTGGTGTGTGATCACATTCATATCTCTATTCCTGTGGTGTTTATGGGAATCATTAGACTGTTTATTCATGTATTTGCTCAGCTGTTGGTTGTTGATTTGTGTTGGTGTGTGATTGTGCATGAGCTCTTCGGCGTCCTCTGCTGGACATTAACACCCTCAGAAGTGCACACTGTGTAGGGCGGTTGTGTTCCGCTGGAGTCCAGCAGGAGGCGCTACAGTGCTTCACATGAGCATTAATGAGTGTGTTTGCTGGATGAACTTTAACATCTCTGCTTCTTCTGCTGCTGCAGATGGTGCTCATGAAGAGGAAGTGTCAGGAACACCTGTGAGTATCAGCAGGAAGTCACAGAGACTCAGTTCTGCGAGAATGACTGTTTCAGAGTGTGACTGTTCTCGCTCTGTAGGGAGAAGTTAATGGACGCCACTAACGAGCTTCAGATGAACAGTGCAGCGATCGAAGAGCTGGAGAACAAACACTCTTCCAGCGGTGAGACTCACTGATGATCATACATGGAAACGTGTGTGTGTGTGTGTGTGTGCGCAGACTGGTTAAGCGAGAGCTTGTTGAATGGTTTCAGTTCAGAGGGTTGACGAGCTGGAGGACGCGCTGAAGAAGAAGGATGAAGATATGAAACAGATGGAGGAGAGATACAAGAAATACCTGGAGAAAGCCAAGAGTGTACGTCTCACTCACTCTTCTCCCTGCTTCCTGTGTGTGTGTGTGTGTGATATTAATGTTAATGCTGATCATGTGTGTGTGTGTGCGCAGGTCATTCGTACTCTGGACCCCAAACAGAATCAGGGTTCTGCTCCCGAGGTTCAGGCTCTGAAGACCCAGGTGCATGAGCGCGAGAGGATGCTGATCTCACTCCAGGTCACACACACACACACTCACTCTCACTCTCTCACACACACACTCTCACTCACACACACTCACTCTCACACACACACACTCACTCACACACACTCATACTCTCACTCACACACACACACACTCACTCACTCACACACACACACACACACTCACTCACTCACACACACACACACACACTCACTCACTCACACACACACACACACACTCACTCACTCACACACACACACACACACTCACTCACTCACACACACACACACACACTCACTCACTCACACACACACACACACACTCACTCACTCACACACACACACACACACTCACTCACTCACACACACACACACACACTCACTCACTCACACACACACACACACACTCACTCACTCACACACACACACACACACTCACTCACTCACACACACACACACACACTCACTCACTCACACACACACACACACACTCACTCACTCACACACACACACACACACTCACTCACTCACACACACACACACACACTCACTCACTCACACACACACACACACACTCACTCACTCACACACACACACACACACTCACTCACTCACACACACACACACACACTCACTCACTCACACACACACACACACACTCACTCACTCACACACACACACACACACTCACTCACTCACACACACACACACACACTCACTCACTCACACACACACACACACACTCACTCACTCACACACACACACACACACTCACTCACTCACACACACACACACACACTCACTCACTCACACACACACACACACACTCACACACACACACACACACTCTCACTCACACACACTCACTCTCACACACACACACTCACTCACACACACTCATACTCTCACTCACACACACACAAACTCATTCACTCACACACACACTCTCACTCTCTCACACACACACTCTCACACACACACTCACTCTCACTCACACACACTTGTCATTATACACATTTATGTCCTCATTTGTCACAAAAACGCGTACACACACTCACTCACACACACACACACACACACACACACACACACACACACACTCTGTCACGTGACTGTACTGTGTTTCTGTGTGCAGAAGGAGTATGACAAGATGTCGTCTCAGAAAGACCAGGAGGAGAAACTCATCGTATCTGCCTGGTACAACATGGTGTGTATCAGCACTCTCACGAGATCATTCAGTTCAGTTCATCTTTTCACGATACAAAGATTCTACATTTCATTTAGAAGTAGCTCATCTGTGGTGACTGTCACAAAAATCTTGCAGTTAGTTAATGATATGTACTCAAGCAAACGGTGAACACGATCAACAGCAAAGATTATATGCTGTGATCAAACTTACAGCACAAGGTGGTAGTTTTGTAAGTTGGCATCATCTCTTTTCAGGTGTTCAGTCATCTGAGATCTTCATAAGGGCTGGATCCAGACTGAAGCTTGTGTAATTCTTAGTTACCTCAGGATTCCCATCCCGTGGCAGAAATAGAAAAGCACATAGAGAAAAAATAATGTAGCTGCTGTTCAAAGCAAGCAGAGAATGATAATGTGCATTTGATCAGATATAACTGGTGTACAGGGTTATGAGATGCATTATTTGAATGCTTTGCTAATCTAGATTTAAACCGAGAGAGTGTGTCTGAACTCTGAACGCTATCAGGAAGGCTATTCCAGAGTTTGGGGTTGCAAACGTTAGCTTATGGTTGGTTAGAGTTAGTGTTGGCATCATATTATCATCTCAAGCTTTTACTGCAGGAAGATCTTTACAGGTGAACAAACGCATCTCATGTATGTTAAACTCACAGCACACGCAGAGAAGGAGTTAATTCAGTAAATTCACTGAATCATGTGCTGTTTGTGTAGAAATAACCAGTGCTGCGCTTATACAGAGCATCTGTGTTTTTCTGTTGTGTGTCACAGATATGAAGTGTTAAATCGTGATTGTGTGTGTGTGTGTGTGTGTGTGTGTGTGTGCGTGTGTTCAGGGCATGGCTCTGCAGAAGAAGGCGGCTGAGGAGCGTCTGGCCAGCACGGGAGCACGGGAGTCTTTCCTGGCGCGTCAGAGACAGGCCACCAACTCCCGCCGGACAGAGAAGGAGTTAATTCAGTAAATTCACTGAATCATGTGCTGTTTGTGTAGAAATAACCAGTGCTGCGCTTATACAGAGCATCTGTGTTTTTCTGTTGTGTGTCACAGATATGAAGTGTTAAATCGTGATTGTGTGTGTGTGTGTGTGTGTGTGTGTGTGCGTGTGTTCAGGGCATGGCTCTGCAGAAGAAGGCGGCTGAGGAGCGTCTGGCCAGCACGGGTTCGGGTCAGTCTTTCCTGGCGCGTCAGAGACAGGCCACCAACTCCCGCCGGACGTATCCGGGCCACGTGCAGCCCACCGCAGCCAGGTAGAGCGTCGCCACGGCAACCCTCTCCACAGCCAATCAGGATACCTGACTCCACCCCCCCACCCCACCCCTCCCCATCCCAACCTCGCTGTCTTAATATTCTCCTCCACTGATCTGACCAATCAGGGTAACCGGACATGCCCACTTTAATCAAATCAGCATTAGTTAATGAACACGCTCCAAACTAATGAGAGCTTTTTTCCTGTCGGATGCTTTTCACCAGAGGCTTTGCAGTATTTTAAGAGTGGTTCCTGATGCGCAGTGTTTTATTTGCTCTTCATCTGCTCTCAGCTGCTGTCCTTCTTGATTCTTTCATCTGTCCTCTTTATTCTCCATTGATATCTATGCATTGAAAGAGAGAAGTGTTCATCATGATGTTTATTTAAATGCACATCAGTCTGTTGTTTCTTCCAGTGTTTTTCGGTGCTTGTTGTTGTTTGTTTTGTTGATTCATTCCCGATGCCTTAACACAGACTCACAGCTGCTGTCGATCCCTGTCTGGCGTCTGCTGGCGTCACGCGAGTCGCGTGTGGGCCGTCCGGTCCGGACTCTTTAAAGCCACGATCCACACGCTTCCACCAGTGACGCTCAGCAGACGCTCACCGCTGAATCTGTGTGACTGACACCTGTCAATCTCTTTCTCTCACAGTGACCTTAAAGCATGAGCGGCAGGGGGCGTGGCTGCATGTCATCAGGGGGCGTGGCTGCAACATCAGGGGGCGGGGCTGCATGACTGCCTGTGATTTGAGCTCATGCTGCTGAGTTTAACCCATCGCTGCACACTAACTAACCCAGAATGCTAACCGCTTTCCTTCCCATCAGAAGTGGGCGGGGCCGGCGCCTGTCAATCATGCTGTGGGCGTGAGCTCGGATTACAGATGGATGAACTCCTACACGTTCCTCATGTTTTCATTTTAGCCTCATTGTCATTGTGGTGTGTTTCAGTATTTCCCGTAGTTCATGAACAAACAAGCTCCTCATACCTGATTCATCAGCATTTTAATCGATTCTTCCCTCAGCGTCTGGCTGCTGGATGTGTTTTGAGTAGAATCAGTGTGAGAATGACAGAGGAACCAGCGCCACATCCTTCTGTTTGTTTTATACTAAATTAGTAAGTGCTTTTGATGAGGATGATGATGATGAAGAATCTGACACAATGTTACAGCGATATTCTGACATTTAAACCTGCTCTGCTGCTTTTCTTCATCAGCTGTTACTAAATATTCCTGTAATAATGCACAGTGATTGCGGGACGAGACGGACTCGTGTCTGTGACGATCAGTGTATCTGTTACTCCAGCAGTGTTCTTGTGTGGTTTTTATCAGGCGGCTGAAGGAGTTTCTCATGAGTTCAGAGGTCAAACACAACCGTCCATGAGCAGAGAAACACCTGATACTTCAGTCGTGATCTGTGTGATACTAAAGTAGCAAATATTCGTTGCATTTGCCAAGTTTTATATTGCTTGTATACAATATGTACATACTGTATGTGTGCGGCTGAAGGAACCGTGTCTCATTCACACTCTGTTGATGAATCTGTGCTTCCAGCGCTGCAAAACTGTACAGTTGTTGTTCAAGTTGTAAATAAAGCTTGTATAAAACATCGTGGCGGTTCTTCGTTTTATCTGCCGTCGTTGATGATCTTTGATTTCTCGTTCTCTGTAGTTGATTTGTGCAGCTTCACTGCTCTCGATGTTCTTCATCTGTTCACTCTAACATGTAAAGCTCAAATGAATGGTGACCTCTGACCCCTGTGAGAGTGTGTTGACCTTTCATCCGAAGGCACTGACTGAACGCCGTCGACGAAGAAAGACAGGATTTCCAACTCAGACTCACTGAACTCAGACTCACCAAACTCAGACTCACCAAACTCACTGAACTCAGACTCCGGACTCACTGAACTCAAACTCACCGAACTCAGCGAGCTCAGACTCACCAAACTCGGACTCACCAAACTCGGACTCACCGAACTCAGACTCACCGAACTCAGTCTCACTGAACTCAGACTCACCAAACTCACTGAACTCAGACTCCGGACTCACTGAACTCAGACTCACCGAACTCGGACTCACCAAACTCGGACTCACCGAACTCAGACTCACCGAACTCAGTCTCACTGAACTCAGACACTGAACTCAAACTCACTGAACTCAGACTCACAGAACTCAGACTCACCAAACTCACTGAACTCAGACGCACCTAACTAACTGAACTCAGACTCACTGAACTCACTGAACTCAGACTCACTGAACTCAGACTCACAGAACTCAGACTCACCAAACTCACTGAACTCAGACGCACCTAACTAACTGAACTCAGACTCACTGAACTCAGACTCACTGAACTCAGACTCACTGAACTCAGACTCACTGAACTCAGACTCACTGAACTCAGACTCACTGAACTCAGACTCACTGAACTCAGACTCACTGAACTCAGACTCACTGAACTCAGACTCACTGAACTCAGACTCACTGAACTCAGACTCACTGAACTCAGACTCACTGAACTCAGACTCACTGAACTCAGACTCACTGAACTCAGACTCACTGAACTCACTGAACTCAGACTCACTGAACTCAGACTCACTGAACTCAAACTCACCGAACTCCGACTCACCAGACTCACCAAACTCAGACTCACTGAACTCAGACTCCCCAAACACACTGAACTCACTCACCGAACTCAGACTTACTGAACTCCGACTCACCGAACTCACTGAATTCAGACTCACCGAACTCAGACTCACTGAACTCACCGAACTCACTCACCGAACTCAGACTCACCGAACTCCGACTCACCAGACTCACCGAACTCAGACTCCCCAAACACACTGAACTCACTCACCGAACTCAGACTTACTGAACTCCGACTCACCGAACTCACTGAATTCAGACTCACCAAAGTCAGACTCACTGAACTCAGACTCACCAAACTCAGACTCACCAAACTCACTGAACTGCCGAACTCACTGAACTCAGACTCACCAAACTCACTGAACTCAAACTCACTGAACTCAGACTCACCGAACTCAGATTCCCCAAACTCACTGAACTCAGACTCACCGAACTCAGATTCCCCAAACTCACTGAACTCAGACTCACCGAACTCAGATTCCCCAAACTCACTGAACTCAGACTCACCGAACTCAGATTCCCCAAACTCACTGAACTCAGACTCACCGAACTCAGATTCCCCAAACTCACTGAACTCAGACTCACCGAACTCAGATTCCCCAAACTCACTGAACTCAGACTCACCGAACTCAGATTCCCCAAACTCACTGAACTCAGACTCACCGAACTCAGATTCCCCAAACTCACTGAACTCAGACTCACCGAACTCAGATTCCCCAAACTCACTGAACTCAGACTCACCGAACTCAGATTCCCCAAACTCACTGAACTCAGACTCACCGAACTCAGATTCCCCAAACTCACTGAACTCAGACTCACCGAACTCAGATTCCCCAAACTCACTGAACTCAGACTCACCGAACTCAGATTCCCCAAACTCACTGAACTCAGACTCACCGAACTCAGATTCCCCAAACTCACTGAACTCAGACTCACCAAACTCACCGAACCCAGACTCCCCAAACTCAGACTCACTGAACTCAGACTCACCGAACTCACTGAACTCAGACTTACCAAACTCACCAAACCCAGACTCCCCAAGCTCAGACTCCCCAAGCTCAGACTCCCCAAACTCAGACTCACTGAACTCAGACTCGCCGAACTCACTGAACTCAGACTCACCAAACTCACTGAACTCAAACTCACTGAACTCAGACTCACCGAACTCAGACTCACCGAACTCACCGAACCCAGACTCCCCAAACTCAAACTCACTGAACTCAGACTCACCGAACTCAGACTCACCGAACTCACCGAACCCAGACTCCCAAACTCAGACTCACCGAACTCAGACTCACCAAACTCACTGAACTCAGACTCACCGAACTCAGACTCACCAAACCCAGACTCCCCAAGCTCAGACTCACTTAAGTCAGACTCACCGAACTCACTGAACTCAGACTCACTTAAGTCAGACTCACCAAACTCACCGAACTCACTGAACTCAGACTCACTGAACTCAGACTCACCGAACTCAGACTCCCCGAACTCACTGAACTCAGACTCACCAAACTCACTGAACCCAGACTCACCGAACCCAGACTCCCCAAACTCAGACTCACTGAACTCAGACTCACCGAACTCACTGAACTCAGACTTACCAAACTCACCAAACCCAGACTCCCCAAGCTCAGACTCCCCAAACTCAGACTCACTGAACTCAGACTCACCGAACTCAGATTCCCCAAACTCACTGAACTCACTGAACTCAGACTCCCCAAACACACTGAACTCACTCACCGAAATCAGACTTACTGAACTCCGACTCACCGAACTCACTGAATTCAGACTCACCGAACTCAGACTCACTGAACTCACCGAACTCAGACTCACCAAACTCAGACTCACCAAACTCACCGAACTCACTGAACTCAGACTCACTGAACTCAGACTCACTGAAGTCAGACTCCCCAAACTCACTGAACTCACTCACCGAACTCGGACTCACCGAACTCGGACTCACCGAACTCAGACTCACTGAAGTCAGACTCCCCAAACTCAATGAACTCACTCACCGAACTCAGACTCACCGAACTCGGACTCACCGAACTCGGACTCACTAAACTCAGACTCACCGAACTCACTGAACTCAGACTCACTGAACTCACCGAACTCAGACTCACCGAACTCAGACTCACCGAACTCAGACTCACTGAAGTCAGACTCACTGTTTTTATATATATAAAAAAAAAATCAACAATATTAAATATACTAGGCTATTGCATCCACATTTGCATTTAGCCTAAATGTAGGCTAGTGATTGAATAAGATTGGACATTTTCTGTATTTTAAAATATATTTTTGGTAGGTTATATAAAGGTTAAAGCTAAATATATATTTTTGCCATATGGAACCAAACAACAAACGTCTCTCCCTCATGTCATTCCAAACCTTTATGACTAATTTTCTAATATGAAACACACACAACAACAACAAAAACATGAATGAATGTTGGTAACCAAACAGTTTTGACTTGTGTGTGTGTTTTGTGTTTGGCTGAAATCTGCTTTAGCGTAATGATGGAGATGAACAGAGGCGCTGCGCTGAATGCTGTGATCATTAATAGTTCTGCTTTCATCTGGTGCACCTGTTTCTGTGTGAAGTTTCTCTTCACACACGTGTGCGTGTGAACATACAGATGTTTCCGTCCATCAGAGGAATGAACCGAGTCGAAGCTTTTTTCTGTTTGATGTGCATCACAATAAACTAACACAGCCAGCATCAAATGAATTTCACAAAGGCAAAAGACAAAGAAATTATAATTGCAATCATTTGAAATCACAGTGTGAACCGGATTTAAAGGGGTCATATGATGCGATTTCAATTGTTTCTTTCTCTTTGGAGTGTTACAAGCTCTTGGTGCATAAAGAAGATCTGTAAAGTTGCAAAGACTAAAGTCTCAAATCCAAAGAGATATTCTTTATAAAAGTTAAGAGTCAGCCACACCTACCTAAAACGGCTCGTTCTAACACACCCCCCACATGTCTACCTCACTATGTGGGAAGATTTGCATAACACCACCCAAATGTTCACGCAAAGAAAGAAGGCGTAACTTTTATTCTCGCTGTAGTATTGCTGCCGCCGCCATGTCGTGAAGGCGCTGTGTGTTTCGTTGTGAAAGTGAAACTTCTTTGTTTGGTCTTCCACAAGAGGATGATATCTGCTTCGTTGAAAACCTGCAGGAACCCTGATAACATAGACATTGAAGGGCTTATATAATGTCAGCAGTGCCTCGTGTTAGGGCTGGTTGATATAAGATTGCGATATTATATTGTGTCATGACCTGATGAGAAGCCAGTGTAAGTCTGCATCTAGTGTTTTAGTGTCCATGGAGGGTTTTAAAGCCCTGTGATGATGAGAGAGAGTCATCAGTTTTCATCCAGACGTGTCTCTGATGAACCGTTTCTCTGAGCTCTGGACCTCCACGGTTCACCAGCTTTGCTCTCAAACGTCGTTCTGTGTCTTTTCTTTCCCAGCAGGGCTGGAAAATGTGTTTCAGAGCCACTCCGGTGCGATCAGTCACGTCCATTGGCCTGCAGTCCTCTAAACTCTGGAACTGGAACTCCTGCAACACCTTCCTCTGGAAACAAAGCCATGATTCTGTGTTTATTGGAGGTGTGATGATGATTTGTGTCTGATGTGACGCCTCTGGACAGCTGGTGCATTCTGGGACAGCGCTGGATAAATAAACACCAGCGCAGGAATTGTAGCATGACGTAATAACACACATCAGCAGACGCCTGTCATGTTAATGGTGTTGCTGTAAATGTGAGGTTTGCTCCAGCGTGAGTGTCTGCAGCAGCTTGTTATGTTTCTGTGGCTGTTCACAGCGTCATATCGTCAGAAAGCACAGGACTTTATTAGATGTGAGCTCAGACGAGAGGAACATTCAGTCACTTCTGCAAATGGACACACACATCTGATTTATTTGCCTGTTTTTCACACCACATGAATCCCTGTTCCACCGGAGTGTTGATTGATTGATCTATGGAAGATTTGTCTACATTTGAAATAATTTGGTGCAGTGATGGAGCACTGCGTGTTGTTTCTGAAGGTGATCTAGTTTTTTCTAGTTGTTTTTGTATGAAAAATTATTATGAGTAAAGTTTTTTCAAAATTCTCTCACACACGCACTGTTGAATCATATAACTAATAACAATAATAAAACCATATTCACTTTAGTTCGTTTCACATTCAGGAAGCTAGATTTAGTTCAGGTGGCTCGCGCTCGCATCTGCTGAGCCTCGCACTTCCGTTTTGAAATAATACGGCTCAGTTATTTCCGGTTATATATATTTTCAATGTGCCTTAATCATCTAGTTGACTTCAATGCCTATTAAAACAAGAGTCCACGGGATGATTTCAAAATCCGGACATTATCAGAGACAGGAGAAGAGATATTCTGATGATTACTGTGTGCAGAATTTTCCAAACTCAACGGAAGGTGAAGTTTTATTAATCAACATCATTTATAAGTTGATCTGATAAAGCAGTGGCTGGTAAACACACGTGACTCTCGCGACGCTGCAGTGTGTGTGAGATCTGATGATGAATATGATCAGAATCAACCTTTATTTATCTGTATTTCATATGCTTCAAATATGTAGCCTATGTAAATGTGTCATTTTTCATTCACAATCATTTCACTGTATGCAATGCCAACATATGAATATTTAAAGTGGTCGCACTGTCAACGCCTTACTGTTAAAAATGATTTAAATGTTTAACATCTTAAATTTCTTTAAGGCCGTTACCGCACATGCGTTCATTCAACCATTTAAACATTGGAATAGGAGCACCAATGCACACAAGCATAATGTTCTTAAATTAGCCGTGGCTTTACTACAAATAAAACCAAAAAAATTGCAATTGTGGTTAAACCATAATAAACCACAAATAAACCCGTGTTTTGCTACACTAACCATAGTTTAACCATGGTGTTTAAATTTGGTTATACAAATAATAAACTGCAAAAAAAGGGTAAGTGTAAGGGTGTTTATCAAATTCTTTTAAAACTGTAAATTCAACAGGTATAAAATATGATCAGTAAGAGAAAATTGTAAAGACAAGCGCTGGACCTCGGTAGGTTCGTGAGGAAATATATTGATTTATTATTCAGAATGCATATTTGGAAGATAAATATATTCATAGGAACATTTCAGCAGGTTGAAGATAATCCATGTTAATGCAGAGAATATGACTATTTGTTTAAAAAAGAAGAAGAAGAAGTCCACCCCTAAAAAACGTAGTATAATCTGCTTTCTCATAAGAAACGGTCTGGATGTAGGTGCTCCAAACAGATTTTTGTTCCACACTCCAGTCCAGCAGGTGGCGGTGAAGCACCTATTAGCTGGTTCGCCAACCGCCAAAAACGCTTAAGAAGAAGACGAAGAAGTTTAGATGCTCTAAACCAGGGGTGGCGAACCCTGGTCCTGGAGATCTACCTTCCTGCAGAGTTCAGTTCCAACCCTGGTCAAACACACCTGTCTGTAATTATCAAGTGCTCCTTCAGACCCTAATTAGTTGGTTCAGGTGTGTTTGATCAGGGTTGGAGCTAAACTCTGCAGGAAGGTAGATCTCCAGGAACAGGGTTGGGCACCCCTGCTCTAAACCAGGGCTGTCCAAACTCGGTGTCCTGCAGAGTTTAGCTCCAACTTGCCTCAACACACCTGCCTTTAAGTTTCTAGTATACCGAGTAAGAGCTTGATTAGCTGCTTCAGGTGTGTTTAATTGGGGTTGGAGCTAAACTCTTCAGGAAACCGGCCCTCCAGGACCGAGTTTGGACACCCCTGCTTTATACAATACATATCTCCTGCATAGGTCAGAATTTAACGAGGGCAATAACCGGTTCAGCAAGAGATGTTACTGGTCACTGGCACTGGAATAAGGAAACCAACGGATGCCAGATTAAATACTTGCATGCAGCCTGCGAATACGTTGGCGCTTTTGTTGACTGATTTTTCATCCACAAAGACCCATGTGTCAGTCCTGTGTTCCGTGTCTTGTGTTTTCCTCCCCCACGTGCTTTCCATTACCCAGTTTCTCCCATGGTAATTATGTTCATTGATTGCAGGTGTTCCCCATTTAGCTCAGAGTATATTAGCCCTGTATTTCCTGAGTCCTGCGTCCGGTCTCAAACGTCAGTTCCCCGTGCTGTGTGTGTGTTCCTGCCTGTGAGTCTTTGTTGGATGTAAATAAAGACTGTTTCCTTGTAAATTGTTCGTAGTCTCCGCACTCCTCGTTCCTACACAGCAGCATAACCGTGACACCATGCAAAAGTCTCTTACTAAGTTCTATAAAATTCTTATTAAACCCAAACCATATAGACGTGCTGATTAAAATCGTTGCATGGGCACAAACCTAGTCACCTTGTTGTTTGCTGATGTTTATTTCTCCTGGCATATTTCAATAAAATTCATTATTTTATTCACACCATCAATTAATTTTCATATTAAAGGTTGTTGAATTTGATGTTGAATTAATGTGTGTAGGTCTGATTAATGCTTACAAGCTGTCCACACAGGGAACCCACAGGCACTCATCAGTTGCACCTTTACCATCTGTCAACAAAAAGATGATCACACCTGCCTTTAAGTTTCTAGTATACCGAGTAAGAGCTTGATTAGCTGCTTCAGGTGTGTTTAATTGGGGTTGGAGCTAAACTCTTCAGGAAACCGGCCCTCCAGGACCGAGTTTGGACAGCCCTGCTCTAAACGCTGACCGGAAACTCCCGAGCCGTACTGCGTAGAAAGCGGAAGTAGTTGTGCAAGTAGTTCAATGTGTGGATTTTTCGCATCGGATTCGAGTTTGCTGAAGTTGAACAGGTGAATATTTGAATCTGCTAGTGTTGTAAGTGACTCTCGAGCATCTCTGTCGGGGAAGTTAAACGCAAAGATTTAGTGGAATCCCATTCCCATTGGATGTGTACATGCCAGTGCAGCAGCTCAGGTAAGTTTCCGTTCATGCTTGTTGCTTAATTATTCAGGTTTCTTCAGTGCTTGTTGTTTTAAGCCTGCTTGGTTTTTATTGGCAACATGCTTGTTTCTTCAGGCTTATCTGCTGATTACATGCTTTAGAGCTAGTCTTACGTGGCAACATGCTGGTTGTTGTTTAGGGTTATTTAGTTATTGCTTTAGGGTTAGTTGGTCTTCTCTGGCCAAATGCTTGCTGCTTTAGGCTGATCTGTTTGTTGTTTGCTTGTCTAATTCAGGTATTGGTATCAGCCGAAGGCCGTATGTTCTTCAGAAGGTAATTAGTGCTGTAGTTTTGGAATGTGATCATTTCTGGCACTTTGACTGACTTTCTCTGGGTTTGTGTTCGGGATGCTAGATGTATGGTTTGTTTTGTTGGGTTTTATCATTGCTCTCATGAATCGAAGGTTGCTTGTTGAGCTCCTGCCCAGAACAGAATCATACGCCAATCCAAACTGTGTGCTAATTATCAATTATCTCTGACAGTAGTGATTTTGACTGGGGGTTACTATAGCCAAATGCACACATTTACAGTAAATGACCATTCAAATGTTTATATAACTGTATTTGACATGCATTACAAACATCTGATCTCAGAGCAGCTCACAACCCAATACCATTGTTAGTGAAAGAGGTTTTACAAAGAAAAATCCTTTCACGCATTCATTGGCAACCAGAAATAAACCATCCCGTTCAAAATCATAAATCCATCTAATGATTTATTCTAAAGAGCATAATAAAAGCTCTCTTCCATAGAGTCGCAGCGCCAGTCATCCGTTCAGGCAGAATCTGTTGAGTCCAAACGTCTCAGTGCCGTAAACAATCACTTAAACACATTTAGATAAACTAAAACTATCTATTCAATAAATTAAATGACTCATTTTTGTCATAAACCACATTAAGCAATCATCAAATGCATGAAGTTGACAGATAGAAAAGATGAAGCGTAACGGGCTTCTAACATGAAACTCACTTTCGCACATCACTTGAAAGTCTGCTTTTATGTAGAGTCTCACCAAACTGAAGGAAGTGATTTGATGTCTAAGGTTTTATAAGCAGAAATTCACTGCTGTTTTGTGAGCAAGGCCAGTTGTAGTTAAGCTAGTTAGTAGCGGATTTAGTCACAAAAATATAATGACTTATTTATATAATAAGTAAACAAACAAATGCTTTCTTCAAAACTAAATTACATCTATAAAACGTCTGATATTTACACGGAAGCACTTCTTAAAGAGCTGAAGAAGGGAAGTGTTCAGCGTGAGGCAGGAGGAGCCTCAGAGTCTGTCCGTGCGGTTCAGGGTTCATCAGATCTTATAAAAGCAGCAGCAGGATCTGAACACACAGAGCCGTAGCAGTGAGGGTGGGGCTCCAGGAGGAGGAGCCTGAGAACGTCCTGTGCTGATTGGCTCTGCCATGCTCCTGTGGGAGTGTCTGGACTGATGTAACCGTTGATGATGCTGACGACAGGAGGCGGAGCCTCATCCATCACACTGCGAGAAACGAGAGCGAGATCATGAGAAACACGGCTTCATCATCATCATCATCATCTAGTGATTATCCAAATCCAATGTACAACATCTGACATTCAGTGAAAATTTTAAATGATGATATAATTATATTTCTACTCCAGCTTGTTGTGTAGTGCATATATTTATGAAAATGCTCTTTCTAGAGTTTTTTCTTCTTCTTGCTGACTATTGAGCTTATGGCCACTGAATGTCTTTCCTGTGGTCAATGTGACGTTACGAGACATTATTGATCTCAAGCTGTTTTATTGATGTCTTTCCGCGGTTGAAATACTGATTGATTGATTTCAGTAAGTTGTTCTGTTTCTTCTGATGTCCGTTCATGTTTATTTTAAGTTCAAAGCCTTTATTGTCATATGCACATTTCCGTGACCAATGAACTTTGCTGCCGTAACTAGTAGTAAAGAGGATGGGATGATCGCTTCTAGAGCTGTGCAATTAATCGAAATACACTTTTGATTTAAATTTCGGCCTCCAACGATTATGAAAATGCAATAATCGAGATAAAACGACTATTGCGCCCCATTCCCAGCGGTGCGCTTTCACGCACAAATCAGTAAAATTGTAACGTGACTTTTGCAAAATGGGCCGTGCTTGATTAATTAAAGTTTATTAGATTTATTCATGTTTTAAAAGCGTGAAAATGTGTCAATGCGGCACTTGGTGATTAATCATGTAAATCGCCGTCGGTTATGTAATATATGAACGTAAACAGTTGAGAAAGAAAAGACACTTGTAACAGATCCGTGCAGCTCTTAAAGTGACAGCAGCCTAATATTCCTGCTGCCGACTGTGTGCTTAATATTAATCTAACAACAAAAGACCGAAAACAGTCACTGCTCTCGACTGAAGGACTTTTTAGCTTTAATAAGAAACAAAGGAAGTGTAATTCTTGCAGTTAAGTTTTATTTTACATTCGATTATTCAATTTCTGTAGTAGGCTGTTAGCTGAATACACTTGCATAAACTTAAAGCCCTGTTTGTTTTTCTATTGTATTTGTCCTTTGCTTTTTATTTTTATTGTATTACTGACAGTTTAACTATTTTCAGTCATTTGAGGACTTTTTTACTAATGATTACCCTGGTATTAATTCTCTAGTTATTGAGAATTGTGAAATTTCATCTAAATGTAGATGTCATATGAACCTTATTTACAGAAAATATACAGTATATCACTTTCTCTAAATAAATCAATAATATAAAGTTGTCATGTGGCCCAATAATCGTGATTACAATACTGACCAAAATAATCGGGATTACACGAAAATAAATTTGGTCAAATATTGGCCAAAATAATCGTGATTTGATTTTTTTTTTTAATCGAGCAGCCCTCATCGCTTCACTACAGCCATCCGTCCCCACACATTAAAGAGTGACAAAAACACATTTATTGATTGAATTTAGTGATAAAACTGCCAGAGTTTGAGAGCTGAGATGGTTTCATATCAAAAGTAGCAAAGCATAAAGATTATCACAATTTACTGGATGGGAGGAGCTACAAATAATGTTTCATTAAGTTCGATTCTTGGGGTTTAAGAATGAATCTAAGTTGGTTCACATTCACTCCAGATCAAACACAGGACTGTGAGTCTGTGGCTAAAACATCAGCCTCTGTGGTTTGGCTCAAACTGTTTACAGCAGTCACGTGAGCGGCTGAAATCTGAGCGTTTATGAAATATGAAGAAGGGAGGGAGGGTTTGGAGTCTGTCAGAGCTCATGAGATGGACGGGAAACACAAAGAGTCTGAGGATTTCATTCACGTCCTCCATCTGTGTGACGAGCGGCTGAGGTGACGCGGTTTCTGTCGAGTTCTGGACCTCATATTAAAGCGAGGTGCTCGTTTCCCTCCACGGGTTCAAATAAATGAAGTCTATATTGTTTGTTTTGACCATCTGGGCCTGAACCGGGACCCGCTTGGCTTTCATAAACTGTTTATTAAAGAAATCTTTGTTTAACTGTAAAAGTAAATGCATGCAAATTTCCAGAACATGGTTCAGGCTCAGCAGAGAACATGTCATGTGGGATTTGACACGGGAACAAGCGTCAGTCTGTTCGAAACCACACAATGTGACACTGATCCGTGAAATATTGGTGTAAATTAAATACAGCTCTCGTAGACGGAGGTTCTGCCGTCTTTTGGAAGCAGATGCTCCATTTCCAGCACAGATCACAGTCAGTCTGAGATTCTCCGTCGGGATCTGTGTGAGTTTGCATCAGCTTGTGCTCCACCTTCTCCAGGAGCCGCGGGTTCGAGTCCTCGTCCTCCTGAAGATCTCAGCTCTCGTGGAGGAACGGCTCGAGCGGGGCATCTGCATCCGTCAGCTCTCCGGACCTCCAGCCGCTGCCAGGGACACAAGAAACACTTTAATATAGATACAAACCCACTGCCGAGACAGAAGTTGAGCGTTTAGCTGCTCAGTTTGTTCATATGTCAGAGACGGTGGCGTCTCTTCACGAGGATGAACGTCTGGATACTCTGGACATTCACATGCCTTTCATTGGCTTTTGGTTTTAAATAAATCCACTGAAATGTGATGGGCTGGTTAGTAAAGCAATAAAGGACTTTAAAAGGGACAGTTCACCAGACAATGAAAACTCACCCTCAAGTCGTTCCAAACCTGTATGAGTTTCTTCTTTTGAATACGAAGGAAGATATTTTAAAGCATGTTGGGAACCAAACAGTTTCTGGTCCCCATTGAATGAAAAATAAATAAATAAATGCAATGGAAGTCAATGGGGACCAGAAACGGTTTGGTTCCCAACATTCTTCAAAATATCATCTTATGAAGAAAGAAACTCGTAGAGGTTTGGAGCGACGCGAAGGTCGAGTAAATGAAGACAGAATTGTCATTTTTGGCCGAACTGTCCTTTAAAGGTCTAAATGAGGTGCTGATGCTTGATTAAGAGTGCAAGAATTCAGTTCAGAAGTACTCGAGTCAAAGTCTAATTTATATGTATAGCGCTTTCACAACACTTATTGTTTCAAAGCAGAAAATCATGATGTTAATGTTTATATTATCTTCATGCCTTATAGTTGCATTTATCAGATTAGAGCTGGACAATAATACTGTAACATTTTGTGACCATTTAAACAATCAAGCAGTTGAGATTTGCTACAATATATATCGCTTTATTGCTATATATATATATATATTCTGCTTTCACGTTAGTTTTAGTTAAATTTTTAGTTTTTATTTATTTTTTATTTTTTTTCTTGTTTTTATCCATTTTTATTTTAGTTATTTTAGTACATCATGCTGCCTTGGAAACTTTTTTTTCCAGTTAACATTTATTTTATTTAAAACTAAAAATTAATAAAACTATATAGGCATATTTGGGGAAAAAACAAACTAATAAAAATAACAAAACACAATGAAACCAGTTTAATGCAACCAGTTTTTATACAAAGAAAATGTATAAAAATAAACTTATAAAAAACAAGTTTACTTATTTTAATTCAAGAAACATTTCTCAATTTCATCTAGTAGTACTAAAACTACAAACTAATGAAACTAAATAATAAAATTAATAAAACGTAAACTAATAAAATTAATACAACATTATTGATAAAAATAATTAATAATAAAAACGTTATAAGATTAATAACTTATTTTCAGGAAACATTTGTCATTTTCATTTAGTTTAAGTTAGAAGTACTAAATAAACATATGTATAATTATTAATATTATAAAAAAATTATATTACATATTAAATATATGTGTATATATAATAAAAGCTCCTGCTCTTCTGGATGAAGGTCTGCTCATGTTTTACTGGCTGATTTTTGTGTTTCTACAAACTGAAGGACCGTATTATTTTCTAACACGCACTGAATGCAGAGGATTCTGTTCAATCTGTACTGCTCTGTGCAAACAAGTCGTGATGTGTTTGCTGTGCTGATGGTGTGAACATGAGACCAACACTAAACCACCGACATGCTGTAAACCTGATCAAACCAGAACTAATGACTGGCTCGAACCCGCAGCTCTTCCTCTGGACAGGTTTGACGTTCACTGTGTTCAGATCAGACTGACTTATCTGAAGTTCAGTCACTGAGAGACTCTGAGCTGAACGCGCGCCGCTCATATTTCTGCATATGTTCTGATGAAACCCATGAGCCCTTCACACAATGGCCCCATTGTGACACCACCGGGACCCTCATTGTGTGTGTGTGTGTGTGTGTGTGTGTGTTATAGTGTGAGTGAGTGTTAGAGTGAGTGAGTGTTAGTGTGTGTGTGTGAGAGAGATTGTGTGTGAGTGTTATAGTGTGTGTGAGTGTTATATAGTGTGTGTGTGTGTGAGAGAGATTGTGTGTGTGTGTGTGTGAGAGAGATTGTGTGTGTGTGTGTGTGAGAGTGTGTTTTATTTTAGCAGTGTTCTATGATCAAATACAGCAGATACATCAGACATTTCAAACTCTCTCAGACCAGGAGAAAGTGGCGTATCTGTTAGGAGAACAGAAGAACTGCTGTGTGTTTGCTGCTCAATATGTGTCTGCCTGTCACCACAGAAGAGAACACACTCAGCCTGCCCTGATCTGATGTTTCCAGCACAGCTACATTATATTAGGCTTAAATTGAAATTGAGTGTGTGAGAGTGAGTGTGTGAGTGTGTTATAGTGAGTGTGTTATAGTGTGAGAGTGTATGTTACAGTGTGAGTGTTATAGTGAGTGTGAGTGAG